CCTGGTGCATGCTTGGGTTCTCTCCAGGTACTTCAGCTTCCTCCCACAGTCTGAAAACATGACTGTCAGGTTAATTGGTTTGTCTAAATTCTCTTTAGGTGTGAGTGTGCATGAATGGTTGTTTGTCCTGTTTGTCTCTGTGTTGCCCTGTGATGGACTGATTTTGCCCATAAACAGCTGGAGGCACCAGCATTCCTCGCGACCCCACTTGGGATAAGTGTGATGGAAAATAGATGGACGATCAAATGCAGCAAATCTAAACCTCTAGGATGTTTTTGTTAGGTAAAATCACAGTTTTTTTTCTTTAAAGCGATCATAGATTTAGTCTTAGGCCATTTCTCAATTCACAAGAAGGCGAGTACGGACTGGTGTCCTCACCAGGTAAGAACACAGGAAAGTCTGGACCTGGGGAGAACAGGAGCACACAGCATAAATATGGGTCACTTGGAGCGTCACCACTTGTCTGGAGCTAAATTTCACCTACTGGTATTAATTGTCTGTAGGTAATAATAAATTATTACTTTTTCATTTAGTGGGGGAATAATGATTAACACAGTCAGATAAACACCAATCAAATGAACATTTTGTCAAAAAAACAAACAAAAAAAACTATTTATAGATAGATGTCAAAAACATCTTTCTTTGTATCTGCTCAAAACAGATGTATTTTATTTTTGCAGTGTGTCTTTCTTCCTGCCTATCAAATAACTGCATAGGTCTGATGGAAATAGAGCAGTGGTCTACCTTGATCAGATGTACCTGCTAAGAGTCCCTCTCTTTGATGTTGTTTGATTGGATCTCAGCTCACTGTTGTTGATTCTAGGATTGTAGTCCTTAGTTAAAATCAGAACTAATCTTATCTCATCACACAATACATTTATGTGTCCCAATTTTCATCTCAGTGTGGTTTGATGAAGGTTAGACTGAATATAATAAACGGTCTGACCTACTTGGCAGAGTGGGTTTGGTATCAGTGGGCAAACTGTGTTTCACTAAAACCCCAAACATCTAAAATGCCCCAGATAACTTAGTCTCATTGATTTAAAATATTCTGACCACTTCTTTTTAGTAGATGTAAACTTCTGCACATTTCCAGTCTGGTGGCAACTGTGGTTATCTGTGTTTTATTCCTT